CGCACTTGCCATTATCATGGGGGGGAGTTAGACGGGATGGCCAGAAGGTAGACCCCGTGGTGTTCACGCCCTCTAGAGAACGAACACCCCAACTCTGGCCCCCCATCCGAGAGAATCATTTCCAGAAATCCGAAGGGCCGGATCGACCATGTCGCGAGAGCGGCCCGCGCCGAAGCCGATCGGTTGTCGGGAAGAACGCAACGCTGCTGGAAACTGGTCCCGCGATCCATATTCACGACCGGGAGACTTTTGCCATTGTGTTCCAGGTGAAACAAGTCAACGGCCAGAAGTCCGCTGAATCGGTAAGACCTGGGAAGATGGGCCTTGCGACGCCACGTCGGTTGGGAATCAATCGATCACCTCTGGCCTGGCCCCGGCAATCCTCAGGGCCGAGACGAAGTCATCCAACGAAGGGTGACCCGAGTTCACGTGGGGGCGGCGTATCACTCAGGCCCTGGCCCAGATCCGCGCGATCGGAACCCTGATCCTCATGCAGAACTGGCTTGGCGGTGGTCTCTTCATCGTCGGGCCCAGGGGGCCCCGCCCCATCGTGCTCTGGAGCTCGCTCCTGACTCTCGTCGAGAGCGGGAACAGAGGACAGGACAAGGGTTTCCTGATCAGGATCTGATCGAGGACGCTGAACTAAGCTGGCAACTGCTGCTCGCGAAAAGGATGGGCCGCTAGGGCCGTCTAAGCTAGTGTGTCCTGGTGCTAAAGACGCCAGGGCCGTCTGAGGCCGCGACCGCTTGCGAGCGCTCCTCCTGGTCCTTCTCCCCCTCTCGCCTTCCTCTCTTACCCTCTTCCCCCCTTCTCCCCGTGCCCCTCGAGCCCCGGGCCATTGCGCGCTTCTGCACCTGCCCGGCTGCGTCTCGAGACCCAGATTTCAACGGTGACCTTTGCCGCCTCTTTTCCTGCAAGGGCCTACCCAAGCTCTGAATATGAAATGTAGCGCCATACGGAGCCCATCAGAACGTCGCCTCCTTCGGAGACTCGAAGCCTATGCGCGCCAGAAGGAACGAGGCTGCCGGGGACTTTCCGCCGCTCCTAGCAAGAGCAGCTCCCACGAAGAAGGCCGCGCGGTCTCGGTATGAAAGAATATTTGATTTCTAACCCATGTCTTTGCTCACGGCGTCCAGGACCGCTAGAGACCCGCGAAGTCTGTCCCAGACTCCTCGGCCGAGCCCTGGGGCGGGGGGATCGGCGAGGAGATTCGATCACGCCGACTCTGGATTTCAAGAACCCTGAGGACCAGACTCTGAGACTCGGGGCCGGTTCCAAGCTTTCGGATATGTCTCTTCTGGCCCAGCTCGGGCCAATGGCCTGCGACTAACCTCGGAGCCGGGCCTCTCAAAGCCGGGCTGCCCTCGGCGTCGTGGGCCGCGTGCATCTCCTGCTCCCTCCTGATTGCCTCGGCCTCCGCGGTCCTGATGCGCGCTGCCGGCCCCGTGACGTCGGCGTCCGCCATCGGCGGCGGTGTCGTGGCAGCCGGAGCCGCCGCTCGATATTCTTGCACTGCTGATAGCTGTTCGGCCATGAGGCGCATCTTGTCCAATAAGGTATTCATCTGATTTGCGCGCAAGACGCTCGGAGACAGCGAAGGAGGGCGTGTTCCCGGAGGGCTCTTCACGCAGGTCGGGGGGATCCCGGGTGGGAGCTGGCTCGGCTCGAGTACTCCGCATCGACTCTCGGCCAGGGCCCTCGCCCGCTGAGCTCGCCCCCGGGGATCGCGCTGGATCGCTCCTGAGCCAGAGGCGCCCGACGACGCGCTCGCTGCTCCCGCCGCGATGGGGGCCGGAGGGTCGCGAGGTGCAGGGCGCGCGTGCCGCGGATCCCCGGGAGGGCCCGAGTAGGCGTCGACCATCTGCTTCACCGGCTTTCATCCTGAGACCTGCTTCCTTTTTCACCTGCTGCGACCTCTTCTTCTCGGCCTGTGCGTCAACCGTCTCCTGGGGGGCCCTGTCCCGCTGAGACAAGCGAGCCTTGCGCACCTGGCAATGCGAGTACACGCCCGCGTTATTGCTGGCGCGCTTCACTGCCCATGGAGGATGCGGACGGTCATCCTGGCTGTCGAACTTCACCCCCCCCCCCCGCCCGCGGCCAGAGTAGAGCCACTCCGTCGGCCCTCGCGCACGCGAGCGCGATGTGGAGCAGCCTCAAGGCCATGGGCCCCCAACCCAGCAAGCTCTTCGAGATGGTCTCGACTCCGGCCCCGAAGTCCTCCTGCTGCACAGCTGTCATCTGCTCTTCGGAGAAGTCCAGGTTGGCCAACTCGTCCGGCATCTCCCCCCAGTCATCGAGCTCCTCCAGTCCCAGGTCCTCGTGGACGTTGCGTAAAGCCGAAGCGGCCCTCCTCCGGGGCCCCTGCGATTTTGACTTCGCGGGTTTGCGAGCCACCGCCCTGATCAGCTCGGGCGGCGCGGGCGCCGAGAGCGAAGGTTCGAGCCAAGACGCCTCTGGAGACAGATCCCAAGAATGGATTTCGCTGACCCTCAGACCCCAGGACTCCAAGACCCCCAGACGGAGAGAGATAAGGCTGCTAGCGCGCGCCCTACCCAGAGCCCATCCCTCCCTCCAGTCTCATCGAGCGTCTTTTGGAATCATGCGCAGAACGCCCGGGTCTACGGAGAAGTCCTCGGGCTCGCAGTGCACCAGACCCAGAGACCTGTGACCGGCTGGATGCCTCACCAGTGGACTGCGATTTCTGTCTCTGTCGCCGAGCACTATCTCATCGTTGTCAAGATCCATGTGGGCAGCGACCTGGAAGCGCGAGGAACTCTACGATCCCACATTTCCATATGCTCATCGGATACCATGCTCTCGCTACTGGCTCATACTTCCCGCCGGTTCCGCTCGCTGAGATCCCTGGAACTGGGCCTTCTTGGACAAGAAGGCGGGAACCTGTGGTGGCGAAAGCCTCTCCGACACGCAAAAAAGCACTCGCAGCCTGTCTCGATCGATGCAATGCCATGGAAGCCGTCGTCAGCCGTAAGATCACAGAGGCAACTTTTCTGAAGGCCATCTCGTTTGTTACTCTCTAGAGCCATTCTGTCTGCTTTGGACCTGAAAGCGTTCTTACACCGCTGTGCCCAGTGGCCGCGCTCCCGTAACGAATCCGTTTCTTGATCTCGTCCATGCCAAGACGCTTAATGCCTGGACGCGATGTGTCATTCTATAGAAAAGCTCACGGTCGACCTTATTCGCTGCCTTCATCCGCCTGGCTTCCGCCCATGTGCGTCTCTTCTCACAACCAAGTCGATCCTCGACGACGGCAGCGAATAACTGCATGACTTCCGCTTGCCAGCCTCTCGCGGTCTCCAGGCCGCTCGCCGTTGAGGAGCGAGAGGTGCTGCAACAGCTGGTCCACGCCGTTGTCGGCCTCCAGACTCTCACGCACCGTCTTGAACTGAACCTGGAGTTCAACGGGCAGGCTCTCCAGGACCCGACCAGCCCTGCTAGCGGGCTGGAAACCCGTTCTGCGCGTCCATGCCGTCACGTTGTGGCGGAACGTCTCCAGGTGATCGAGCCCGAGCCAAGGCGGAGGCGAGCCGAAGTCCCTGTTCGGGATGGTGTCGGTCGCGCCGTAATGACTCCAGCGGCCCGCGCCCTTGCCTAAAGACGCCCACTCATCGTCCTGCCAGCTCCAGGCCGACGATGTCCATCCAGGCCACCACCGCCACCGCCAGTCCTGGCCGGCCCACGCGTCCGTAGGCGCGGCGGCAGGCGCGGCAGGCGACGTTGGTGGCGCTGCGTCCTGGGCGCCCTCCACGGGCGACGGGGAAACCGAGGCCGTCACGTCGTCTTTTGGCTGGTCTGTCTGTGGCTGTTGCTGCTGCAACTCTTCTGGCTGCAAAGGACCTCCTGCGCCTGAAAGTCTCGTCGCCTCTGCCAATACTCCAGGCATCACACTCCGCTTACCACTGTCAATACCTGACACACGCATCGGGTGGATCTAAGAGAGTGGCAGAGCACGCGGGGACCTTTTTCTGGCGTCTCGGGCGCACGAACAACCTCGAATGTCGCGCGAAGCTTAACGGCTACGGACCATATACAAAGCGGAAGAAACGAGAAACCCCGAACGAGGGCCCATCAGGGCCTACGAGGGACAGGGGTGGGGGCCCCCGTCAGTTCGAACCTTACACCCCCCACTGGACAGAGGGGGGGGCCTCCCCGCCTTGGTTCGAAGACCCCCCCCCTTGGACAAAAGGGGGTCGCCCGCCCCCCCCCCTGGTTCGAACCCCTCCACCCCCTTGCAACTCACAGGGGGGCGCCCCTCCTGGTTCTAACCTCCCCAACCACTCTGAAGGGGGGACCACCCCCACCCCGTTCGACCCCCCTCCGTACTTGCATCTCATGGGGGGCCCCCCGGTTCGAACCCCCACCTTGGACAGAGGGGGGTCGCCCCATTCGGTTCGAACCCCCCTCCCTGCAAATCGCCCCCCCCTGATCGAACCTCCCCAACCCCCCCTTGACGGGGGCCACGCGAGCTCTGGAGCCCCTCGCTGGTGGCCAGGTCAGGACGTTTGAGGTCTAGTATGGAAGGCGGAAGAGGGAAAGGATAGGGAAGTGAGAGGGAAGGGAGAAGAGGGAGGAGGAGGAAGAGAAAGACGAGCAGCGCCGCAGGCTCTGACCTACGGTTTGCCTAACGTCAAGCGATAGGAGGACGACGACGACGAGATGAAAGAGAAGAAGGGATGAGAGCATGGAGACAGGGAGGAAGAATGAGAGGAATGAGGAAAAGGAACAGAGACACGGAATATTCAGGAGCACTCCGAGAAAACAGTAGGCCTTTTACCGGCCATCTGCCGACGCGCTTTTCTGGCGTATGGTTTCTGTTCTGTTCTGCTCCGAGGAAACACCGCCTCCCCGAATGCTGTCACAACGCCACCAGAGCCCCTGTGTCGCAAGCCCTCCTAAGACGGATGAACAGCAGCAGCAGCAGCAGCACGTGCAGGATGAGAAGCAGCAGACCCCAATTCCGCCCCTCTCCCCAACACGCGCGCCCGATGAGGAAGAAGGTGAAGAAATAGCCCTCGACGCCATCGTACCATGTCATGCGGACCATGTCAGGCTGGAACTCCTGAGGCCGTGGTCGATTCACAATTCCAAGGGCCAGGGCTATACGCACCCCGAGCCCAACAAATGAAACATCACATGTTGCAAACGGACCAAACAGCTTGTCTGACATATGAACGGCGAGAAAGACATTGCCTTCCACGAGATGACATAACGACCTTACACCGCGGCTTATGGGGGCCACGAGCATGTCATAACGCGTGGAGACCTATTGCACATACCCGCGACCCTACGCGGGCAACTTACGCGCGAGCGTCCTAATAATAACCTCGGGGGATGGGCTGTGTTGTTCCGAAGTGCGGCAGCTGACCCTCGGGACAACCCTCGGTACGAACCAACACCGACTGACAGCAACTCGCGTCCCGCCTTTGACCCGCAGCACCCTCCCAGTGGTGCCTGAAGTAAACATGGGCGGTTGAGCATACTCTTTGGATCATTCGCGCACAAAAGAACGCGCTAGGGTGCTTGCAAACAACTCTGGTCAAGCAAAGGCCATCGATAAAATGAAGATCGCACTGGCACCCCATGCCTCGTCGATGCTTGTACACCCAGTCGTGCTACAAAGAACGCAACACGTGCCGAGGATTTGATCTAAAAAGGAAACCACGATTATGCAGGATGCGTGCAGAAGAAAGCAAGACATAATACACATGAACAGTCGACGGTTCGCCCTGATTTCTTGAATCTGCGCTGGACCCCCCGGGGCGGCGCCAGAGGCACAGGCAGGGGGCTCAAGTGCCGACGCGAGAAATCCAACCCTCCCAGCCCTCCCAGCCCCTGTTGCACAAGCCCTACCAGCCCTCTGGGATCAGGCGGCTTCGAACAGCTCTACGAGGCCTCAGGATGGCCCCAATTTCGCCCCGGGGAGCCGCCAAGGGAGGTCTAGAATCGTGCGCACGCTGACATGAATTACGGATCCGTGGATCAACCGCGTGGGCGGCAGATCCACGCATCACGACAGCGACCCCGAATCATAAAGCCAATGCTGCCTCATTTGAGTATCGCGTCGATTCTGAACTGCGTGCCCCTGTGATGCCTCCCCAGCGACCCCACGACGAAGCCTCCCAAAGAGGCGTCTTGACCACGATCAAGGTTACTTTCAAAATACGCCAAGACGGGCTCCGGAGAAGCTCCGACGAACTTCATCTGCAATGCCACCCCAGAAACTCCTGACAGCGCTCCGAAGAAACCCCAAGAAGCGGTCCTCAGGACTCTGACCCACAACCCGCGCACAATGGCGGGACGGGCGGAAGGCTCCAGATCCTAGCTCCAGTACGCAGGAGCTCACCAATTCGAGCTCGGGTTGAGCACCACACAAATACACCGAGGAGAACTCGGAGGAGAACTGGAGTCGGGCAGATGTCAGCCAGAATTTCCGAAATAAAAACGACAAGCAAGAGGAAGGAACACCGCGAGCCTCACGCGCGCAAACAACGGTAAGCAAGAGGAAGGAGCACCGCGCGCCTTTGCCTCATCCTCACTCCCCCACCTGCAGCTGCACACTCACTTTTTCGCATCCTCCTTTTTCTCCTCCTCCTCCTCCTCCTCATCCTGCTGCCCTCCCTCCTCCTTTTCCAATATTTGCACTGTCGCCCCATCTACGCTGCTACTACCCCCATCCCCCCCCCATCCCTCCGGCACTCACTCACACAAGCGCACACACACACACACGCACGCACGCGCGCACACACACATACACACGCACACACACACACACACACACACACACACACGCACACGCACACGCACACGCACACGCACACGCACACGCACACGCACACGCACACGCACACACACACACACACACACACACACACACGCACGCACGCACGCACGCACGCACGCACGCACGCACGCACGCACGCACGCACGCACGCACACTCACACGCACGCACACTCACACACACGCACACACACACACACTCGCACACACACATTTCCCTCACATGGCGAAGTAACACCACTGACGCGACAAGCGCGCTCTGAGTTAATCGCCTGAACCCATTTGGCGTACCCTGGAGCATGGAACCCGCTCAAAAGGCACACTCCCCCACCTGAACACACTGACACACATCCGGGAACACAATGCGGGAGGAGAAAGAAAGTAAATGAAGGGGCCCCAGGACACACACACATACATACACACAAATAAAACTATTCCCCATAGTTTCCCATATCTTCTGGGTTTTTGTCTTCCCCCCCACTTCCCAAATGTTTTCATATTTTCTTGGGAATCGACGATTAATTGTGTCGGTGTGTTTTTCCCCTCCTGAAATGCGGGAGGAGGGAGAAAGTAAAAAAGGATCAGAACCACAAGAAGGTGTTCCTTCACGCCCGCATCCGTAACGACAGAGGACATCAGGACAAGAACAAAGCCAATGGTAGCATTCAGAGCCTGCCACCCTCAGACACGAATGCTCCTCCATC